CCCCCCCCCCCCCCCCCCCCAGACGTATTCTGCCCTATAACTGTACCATCTACCCCAAACCTGTAGCCCAAAGCCCTAGACTGTTCCGGTCGAACCTACCCCGACACCCTGGTCCAAAGAAGCAACCCGAATAGAGGGTTTAGGGTTTAGGAATTAGGAAGGAAGGGTTTGGGTAAGTCTGTACACCCCAAGCCATACAGTGCCATACAGGCCCAAGATCAGGGGTGAGGGTAGAAGGGGTCGGAACCTTTGCCAGGTGAAATAAAGGGTCGTTCCATATCCTGTTTGTTTATGGGGATTCTGGGGAGTTTTATTTTGGCTCATTGAGGGCTTCATGAAGTCCGGACTGGATGAGGGTGTTGGTGCATGTGATCATGCATATGTGGATAATGTTAACAACATCACGAGCGACACAAAATGTTGCACCCTAAGCTCTAAACCCTAAACCCTAAACTCTAAACCCTAAACCCCAAACCCTAAACCCCAAAACCCTGAACCCTAAACCCTGAAACCCTGAAACCCTGAAAAAGGCACCCGTAACACTGCGATAGTTTGCAGGTGCTCATCTTCTTGATGGTTTGGGCCGCTTATGCGATGGTTTACCTACTGTCGAGGACATTTAGGGCCATTTAGGGTCAGGGTTTAGGGCTTTTTTGGGGCTGTGGGTTCAGTGCTTTTGGGGCTGTGGGTTTAGGGTTTTGGGCTCCGGGTATTATAAAAAAAGGTGTCTTTGCTTCAGGTTTGGAGCCTTGGAAGGGTTTTGTAAGGGATTTTCGGTTGGACTTCAAGGGGTTTATTGCACCGAAATCCCATAGCAGAGAACATGCTGAAGACTAGCACCGATATCGCCGACGTAGTCAGCCTGCGACAGAGGGATCGGAAGGATAAGTAGTAATTCTCTACCCTCGCAGTCCTCGTCATAAGACTTTTCCGAAGCTATCTCAACAACACCTTCTAGTTATTATATAGTTGAACCCTAAACCCTAAACCCTGAACCCTAAACCCTAAACCCTAAACCCTAAACCCTAAACCCTAAACCCTAAACCCTAAACCCTAAACCCTAAACCTCAAAGTGGGTCTCATGACAGGTTTTGGGCGTCCTTCAGACCGAAAGTTCCAGTCTAAGCTAAAGTGCCCACAACCCCAGTAATCTAACGTGGAACCGCTTTTAACGGTTTAGGGTTTAGGGTTTAGGGTTTAGGGTTTAGGGTTTAGGGTTTAGGGTTTAGGGTTTACGCTTTTAGTGTCTTTTGCAAAGGACAGTAGGGTTTAGGGTTCACGGGGTTCAGGGAGTGGTCTGTCCACAGTGAGCCCCTGTTCGGGTTCCATACAGCAGCATTTGCAGAAAATCAATTGACAGAAATATTTAGGGGTTTTGGGTTTAGGGTTTAGGGAGGATAGCCCTGGATGCTGGACAATCAGGAATCAGGAATACTGCTGCTTCGGTTACACATGACAAGATACAATGCTATTTCGCAGCACCGAACACAACCCTAAACCCTAAACCGCGGTAGAAAGCCATCGATGACTCCTCAATCTGTTATGACACGACCTTCCACGCTTTAGGGTTCGGGGTTTAGGGCTTATCCGTTGCCACCTGTTTTCAGGATCGTTACTGCCGTTCCTTGATGGGACTGTTTCAACTGAACCGAATATAGGCTCCACATGATCAATAGGCTATCCTCTTTACATAAATTTGTTGGTGAAACCCTAAACCCTGAACCCTAAACCGTGACACACCATGATATGCCCCAACGCCAGTTCTAACTGTTCATGCCCCACGGAGGAAGCCAGCCTTCCTCTACAAGTCTGGGACATTTTGCGGGTGGGTAGTTACCGTTATAGGAGCCCTTATAGAAGGTCTACTCGGCTTTGGAGTACCATGCTTTGGGTCTGGGGTTTAGGGTTTAGGGTTTAGGTTTAGGGTTTTTTGGAGTACCATACTTTGATACTTTTTTTTGGACCTGTTCCTTAAAGGAGCCATTAAAAAAATAGAAGTCTATACTTTTTTCTCCCTGATTACTTCAAAGCCCAATCTATATACCTTCTAGAAGCCTGATAGAAACCCTATATACCCTAAACTCCCCACCTATAGTTTGCTTTAAACAAGACCTTACAGAACCTTGCATAGAACCCTAAACCGTTTAGGCTTTAGGTTTAGGGACCCTAAACCCTAAACCTTAAACCCTAAACCCTAAACCCTAAACCCTTTATTTGTAGAACCCTCGTCCCACGGAGGAGGCGAGCTCCAAAGCACGTCGGAGATGAAATACCACCCGCGACATTCCGCGGAGGCCAGCGAGCCACTTAGGTAGCTTTTCTAAATTAGGGTCCTTTTTTAGGTCCCCAATATAGTACGGCACCCTTATAAAAAGGACCCCAAAAGGGACCCTGATTTAGAGAACTACCCACTTAGGGTTTAGGGTTTGGGGTTTAGGGTCAACGAGGTTCAGGGCATAGATCATAGAGGTTCAGGGTTTAGGGTGATTCCACCCCAGATACCTTTTTCGTGGGTTCCTGTTCCTAGAATCGTTGAAAAGGCTGATTACATTACATATGACCAAGAGCCCACCGCTTTTCAAGATCCCGGGAAAACTGTGGAATAAATTCATAGCCGGGCCCGAAGGTTAGTTTTGAGTCCGTATTGGCTTTAGCTGCAGGGTTCAGGGTATGGGTGTTGGGAGCTATATAAAACCCTAAACCCCTACACCCCTAAACCCTAAAAGTTAAACCCCTAAACCCCTAAACCCCTAACCTGTAAACCGATAAGGGTTTAGGCGGTGGAGCAGAGTTAGTTACTGAAAACGTCGAGATCGCCTGAGGGATCCGGCTTCAGGACAAGTGTCGGGGACTCTAGATGTTGCTCCAGCTCTTTAAGTTGGAGCCTGAGCTTCTCAGCTTCTCGTTCTTTGAGGTTTAGGGCTTAGGGTTTAAAGGGCTTAGGTCTAGGGCTTAAGGCTTTTATTAAGCCTTAGAGGCAGGGCTGGTGGTCTAGAATTCTTGTTGTCACTTGTTGTCTGACCTGGGGTGTCAAGTCTTAGGACCAACATGGGGTTCTAGGTCGATACAAGTCCCTAAGGGTCCATGTAACCGCTTCCTTTAAGGGTACTATAATAGGTTTCTATAAGGGATCTACAAGGTTTAGGGTATAAGGGTCCATGTACCCAGATAGTTTATACTTTGGCCTTAAAGTACTCCCTGTATTATCAATAGGTACATCGCGGCCATTAAAAGTATATTCGATCTGGGTACATGGACGCTTAGGGTTTGCGGGGTTTGGGTTGCGCTAGAGACCCTAAACCCCAGACCCGAAGCTCAAAGCCCTGAGCCCGAAACCCGGTAACGCCGCCGATTGTGACCAGCTGGCGTGTTTAGGGTTTGGGGTTCAGGCAATGCTGCATTCATCGCAGGAAAACGCGGACAACTCTGTATTCTGCGCGCACGCAGTCGCCAAAAGTGCCTTTTAACAGTTCAACATCACCACTGCTACCAGGCTTTTGTCTGCGGCAGGGACTGTGTAAAAGCGCGACCAGAGCCCTCAACCCTACCTGGACCCTAAAGAACCTACCTTTCTTTATATAAGTTCGCAAAAAGGTAGGATATTTGGGGTTAAGGTAAACTCCAGAAACACCTGGAAAAGAACCCCGTGCGGCGAAAATGTTAAACTGTTAAACATACTGACCGCCGAAGTCCTCGCCAAACCTGAGACACTCCAACCTAAACCCAGAGCCCCGAACCCGAAACCCTGAACCCTAAAGCCTAAACCCTGAACCCCCTAAACCCTGAACCCTAAAACCTAAAAGCTCATGGTTTAGGGTTTAGGGGACTTCCTCAAGCCTCAATAACCCAAGACAGTCCTGTGCAGGCTTACCTGCCTTCCGTCCTGTGCTGTGTTAAGGTTAAGGTTTTAGGGCTTTAGGTTTTAGGGTTTAGGGTTTTGGGGTTTACGGTTGACCATTAAGTGCAATACCAGCCAAGAGAACATGTTCAACAGCACCAGCTGTAAATCCGAAATCATGAGACCCGGGCCAAACCCTCGGAGCCAAAACGAACGGCACTTCGACCATTCCCCTTCCCCTCCTCCCCACCACCCCCCTAAAGAAACCCTAGGGTTTAGGGTTTAAATAGGGTTTAGGGTTTAGGGCTTAGGGTTTAGGGTTTAGGGTTTGGGGTTTCGAACCCCTAAACCCTAAAGTTTTCAGGGTCATAATCAATGGTGTTAGCATAAGCCCGGAGGCATCGAACCCCTAAACCCTAAACTTCTCAGGGTCATAATCAATGGTGTTAGCATACCCTAAGGGTCGATGTACCCAAATAGTAGGGTTTAGGGTTTAGGGTTTAGGGTTTAGGGTAGAACATTGGCCTTAATGTAGTCCCTGTCTGGGTACTTTAGGGCCAATGTTCTACTGTTTGGGTACATGGACCCTTGAGGCAACATGCTCTACTTGATCTTTTTGGACTTGCTGCTTACGCTGATCGGCGCCTCGGCGCCCTAAGCCCCCAAACCCCCTGAACCCATGAACCCTACCTGGACCCTAAAGAACCTACCTTTTTAGGGTCCCTTATTATGAATTCTTTATATAAGTCCTTAAAAATGTAGGATATTTGGGGTTAAGGTAAACCCTAAACATCTCGAAACTCTAAACACCTAAACCCCTTCACCCCTAAACACCCTGAACCCATGAACCCTAATTGTGACCTGGGCTTTGAGCTTTTGCTGCCAATCAGCTTAGAGTGAAAGGCTAAAGCCTCACGGAGCTCTTGGTCCCTATTTGGGGCTTAGGGGTTTAGAGGTTTCGGGGTTTAGGGTGTAGGGGTTTCGGGGTTTAGGGCTTGGGGGTTTAGAGGTTTCGGGGTTTAGGCTCTAGGGTTTAGGGTCCAGCACCCACATAGTATGTTTTCAGGTACGCAAAGCCCTTCAGAGCATGGTGTTTGCAGCCCCAAGCTCGTACTTCCGCTCTCAGAGCTGAGTGGACACGCGACCGAGGTGTTACAATTCTGGTGGTCGTGCTGTCTTCAGCAGAGCCTCGTCTTCCTTTGTGGACGTTCAGGCCGATGAGGAGGTCTGAACAGATTGAGAAACAGCCCCCTGCAAATGTAGAAGAACTGAATCACTTTGAAATACAACTCCTTTAAAGCAGAATGGCCTGGTATTTTGTACAGTCTTTATGTACTGTTACGAACTTTATTCAGAGATGCCCAAAAATATTGGCTCTTAGTTCTCGGGCCCTCCTGCTATTGCATTTCAATAGCAAATGTTGTTCTTCAATAGTGGGCGGGAACCAAGAACCAGGATTGCCCAAGGAAAGTCCTGAGAGCAATGTGTGTCACGTAAAACTTGTCACGGACTTTCCCGACAAGGCCGTTTATTTCTGTACACACTGCTTGGTGTTGGTCTTCTTGTTGGCCCTGGGTTTGCACGGCGTTCTATCTTGTGTTTGCGTTCAGTAGTAGTCCGGAACAGTGGAGAAACACATAGGTTCCCACAGCGTCCTCTTCCCAAACCTGAATGGTCACCTCGGGCCTCGGGTTAACTAAACCCTAAACCCTAAACCCTAAACCCTAAACCCTAAACCCAAAACCCTAAACCCTAAACCTAATATGAGATCAGACTAGCCGCAACAAGAAAGCCCAACAAGCTTATGAATCCTGAGACCATGCCTCCACCCCAAACCCCGGCACCGAAACCCAACTGCAAAGCCTAAGCAACCCTACAAAAACCTAAACTCCTAAACCCCAAATGCCTAAATCCTGCAGTAAACCTGCTAAACCTTAAACCCTAAACCCTAAACCCTAAACCCAAAACCCTAAACCCTAAACCCTAAACCCTAAACCCTAAGGATTGCAGGCTAGAGCTTACATCCTGCACCCTCAGGCCACAAGTCCCAAGTCCCGAAGGCAGAAGAGCACCCAAGCCCTGAACCGGAAGACCCTAAAGCCTGAACGGTTTAGGGTTTAGGGTTTAGGGTTTAGGGTTCATGCCGCAGCCATAAAGCCCCAACACCCTAAAACCCTGAAAGCTCCTTGGTCTAGGATTTTTTGAGTATCTGCAGCCCTGAAAAATCCTACCCTAAAACCTAAAACCTAAACCCTAAACCCTAAACCCTAAACCCTAAGGGTCCATGTACTCAGGATTGGGACTTCGCTGCGGCTCAGGTGGGCTATACCGTCGAAGCTATCAAGGCAACACGGCCACAACTTAGGGTTTAGGGTTTAGGGGCTTCGGGGTTTAGGGTTTAGCGGGGTTTAGGGGTTTAGGGGCTTCGGGGGTTTAGGGTTTAGGGTTTCGGGGCTTCGGGGTTTTGGGTTTAGGGTTTAGGGTTTAAGGTTTAGGGTTTTTGGGGTTTATAGGGTGTAAGGGTGTAAGGTTTAGGGTTTGGGGGTTCAGGGTTTAAGGTTTAGGGTTTTGCGTTTTAGGGTTTCAGG